AGGTCACGAAATCACGAAATCAACAAGCGTATTTTTTTTTTAGCAAGAAAAAATATTTCATAAAAAAAAAAAAAAAAAAAAAAAATTTTTTTTTTCCTATTTGTGTAACCTTATCGGTGGATCGCTTTTAATATCGATATAAAAAACAAATAAAATTCAAATTATAGTGCTTGGACTGAGTCAAGAATTAGAAAAGATTTTCTAAAACGGAGTTAACTTGGAGTTGTACCAAAAACCAAATCAAAACTCAATATAAGGCATCCAAAGAAACACTTGTGTAGTGATTATCACAATCCAAACCTTATGGAAACACGATAAATTTTAAAAGTTCTGTCTGACAACCAGAACTACAGGACTATTAATATAAAGTTTGTACTACGCTTTTTTATAATGAAAATTGAAATAATGAATAAAATAAAATATTGAAAATGATTGCGGTGCAATCAAATCTTCGGTTAAAATAATTTGAAATTCAATGTTTCGTTGTTTTGTCTAAATTCATAGTGCCGGCCTGAGTTAGATTTAAATCGTTGTTTGGTTAATCTGGTTTCAGTTAGCAATGATCGACATCATTTTGATGTCAATTAAAATAAACTGTGGGAGAAAAATAATACTTTCACGCGCGGGTATATAGCAAACCTGTATAATTTGTTTTGAGTATGAAACCATACATGTATGGACTTTTATTATGAAAATACAGGTTTTTTTAATACCCCTTTCATGCGATCGCACTCCCAAACAAATCAATGACTAATTGTTTCTACTTTTACCATTCCTAATATTACTCCGATGACTAAAAATTTGTTTCTTTCGTAATAAAATTGATCAGAATTTACGTCATGTAAGGTCATTATTGACATTTGCAAAGTTTTTTTCGGAAGTCAAATAAGAATATGACGACGATATGAAATGTATAAAAATGAATCCATCAAAGAAACCCTCTTGACTTTTTCTCGAGTTTATCATTTATCCTTTGATTAACTTTGAACAATGGGTAAACAAAAAGGAAAAAATAAAATTGACAAAAACTCTGATACTTCCGATGATGAAAGCGAAGAATTCGTCGACGCTAAGTCTGAAATGGAAAATTCAGATGCTGCTACGCCACCACAAAATAATGAAAATCATCCATCTTCCTTTATTATTTCTGGTTTTAAGAAGGGGTATAAGTTTGTCACCGAGGGTTTGAATTTCTTTACACCTAAATCTAAAATTTCAGAAGATGTTAGCTACACAAAAATCATATTTCACGCGCATTTTCCTAAGGTTCATGTCGGAATTCCTGTTATAGTTGGTAATATAGAGGAACTTGGTAAATGGATAAAACCAAAAATTTTTCTTAAGCAATATAAGAAAAATAGATCTTATTGGTATTCAGATCCTATTCAAATCCCGAACGTAAGATTTCAAGATTCTGTTAGATATAAATATGCTGTGTGTAAAGTCAACAACCAAAACTACCTAAACTTAGAATACGAAGGATCTGGTCCAGATGACGATCGTGAGCTAGAAATTCAACGTCAACAATTCGATATTTGGAAAAATAATTCGGCTTATCGCATTAATCAAATCACTGATTATATGTTTTTAAATGTCATTTATAAATCCGAAAACATTAAGGAGATGGTTATAGATTATGATAATATCCTTAAACAACATCACGACTTAACTTTATCCGTAACGAATCTTGAATTTATTAGCAAACATGTATCGGATAAATCTATTGATAGACGTCTTTTTTTATGCTTCCTTTTAGAACAGACCAAAATATTTGAATTACCAAGAGAATTTAAAACTGCTCACTTGCTACAAGCTTTCTTCACGGTTGATCAATACACATTTCCAAGCGATAGTATGCATGTTGTATTAAAAGGGATTG